GTTTTTACTATGTATGTATTGATGAGGCTTATTTCATTCAAATTATATAGCTGAATGCAAAATGGTGGTCTCTATAAAATTTAAAAATTTTTTAAATGCTGAATGTTTAAAACTGTTTTACTTGTACCATAAATGAAAAAAAAAATAGAATTAAAATTAATGGTGCTAAACAATAATTGTTTTACTATTTTAAAATTACCTTAGCACTGTGGCATCCAAGTAGAAAACGAAAATATTCAATAGTCTCTTCTAAATTTCCAAATGATGTTTCTAAAAAAAAAAATTTATGATCATTTTGTTTAGCTTCATAATTTATCATGATAAATCTTAAAACAACCTGTTGCCTTTGTATGAACTCTCTTTATAATGCTAAACAATGCTGATGTCTGCTCTTCATTGAAATTATTGTTTTTGGCAAAACTTTTATTTATTTAGAAGAATAACAATATCTATGTGTATGAATGTTATAATAGGTGAGGTTTTGTTATAATAATTTTCTTTTTTAACTTTTTTTTACTTTTTGTTTATCAGCTTTGTATTGAAAATAACTTTTTTTTTTCTGTTACTGAATATTTTGACTGAAAAGGTTAGTTTATTGAAATTAAATTTTATCTGAATATTTGTAAATAACAAGTTTATTTTACATAATTGTCATTCATACTTTTGTAACAAATTTTTTGATTCTTAAAACATTAATTACTTTATTTATAAAATAACTTACAAAATATCTTTTGATTTAACTATTATCAAGCAAAAAGGTTTTTAACATTACTAAAATAATATATGCATATATAAAACCACAAATATTTTACAGAATACATATACAGCATAACATTTTAAAACAAACCATGAATATGTGTGTATGTAATAGTATTGAAGTATAAAACAATATTCAAATCTGTATTACAATGTTTCAACAAGATTTACAGATTTAAAAAAATTTTATATAAAACAAACAGAATTTTAGATTTAAAAGAACTTGAGAAGGATACAGTAGTGTATAATAAAACAAGTCAACAATAGCACTGTCTTTTAGTGAAAGACTTTCGAATTGAAACCCAAATTTATGACACAAGAAACTAAAAAAATATATGAAATATTAAATTTTCAATCATGATTAATTTTTTATTAAATTATTATGATAATTTACTTTAACCTTTCAATAAATTTCATTACTCAAAACAAAAAAAATAAAAAAATTTGATTAGTTTTTTTTTCTTGCAAAAGTAACAAATTCTGAGATTTTGGAGGAGCTTCAATCAAAATTAAAGCTATATTCAAATCTCAAAAAGGAGTGCTTTATCATTTTGCTAAATTAGAAGACAAAAAGGAGTGCTTCATTATTTTGCTAAACCAGAAGAAAAAATAGAGTGCTTTATTATTTTGCTAAATCAGAAGACAGAAATAGTTCTAGTGTGCATACCTTGGCTTAATTAAGAATGTGCGCATTGCTACAAATGCCATAATTAAGCAAACCCTGACTTTAATTACATGACTTAACATATGTTAAAACTTTAAAATTTGCTATCAAACATAATTTTTTTTTTTTGCTTTTTTTTTTTTTTGTTATGTTATTCTCCTCTTCAAGGCCAAGAAGGCCACTACAATCAAAGAGGCTGTGTTAGTGTTGCTACAACACTCTCTCAATTTTTTAACTCCAAAACACTAACTTTGACAAACAAGGCATGGAACAACAAACTTTTAATAGTAATATTGATTTGAACTTTATGTATAACTATATGTAAAGTATTAAAACTATTTAGTAAGGTTTTGAAACAAAGACTATATATTTATAAATCTATTTTTAAATAAAATGAAAAACAAATACTTTAAATAATTAAATTGTGACAAAATATGCCAAAAACAGGCAGTAAAACATTGGCAACAATGTTGATGTTCAGATTGTTAGCCAGCTCAATGGTGCTACGTGTACTGCAGAATTCCTAATGAATTTAAAATTCCCATAAAATGAATTATCGCAAAAATGCAGTAAAAAATATATTCCTGGCTTACAACCTGATGTTTTTCAGTGTTTTAAAAGAAAAGAGAAGATGATAATGAGATGATTGTTTATTTTGACTCAAGGATAAAAAAAGAACAGAAATTAGTGGTATGCTGGCCAAGGGACTATCCAGAAAATTTGCATGGGCCTTAAGCTTTTTATCTAATAAGGTCTTTTCAAATTTAACTGTATTCTTTAAATGATCAACAAAAAAAAATATTTAACTGTATTCTTTAAAGGATCAACAAATAATTTTTTATTCAGTTTATTTATGCATTCACAAATTCTTTAATTATCTGATTGAAAGTATCTAACTTTGAGTGCTAGTATATTAGTATTTTATATACTAAAATACAAATATTATCTAATATCAACCTCAAAAAAAATTGAAAAATATGTTTATTATCATGTTACATAAATTGATTTAAATATATTAAAGAAGCAGTGTTAAGGGTCGAATTAGGCAATCGTGATGACTAGAAAAAACCTAAATATATTAATCTTACATTTAATCACATTAAATGTAGTTCCTTACAAAATAAAATTTCCATTCTTGATTACAGAATAGAGGTAGGAAAAAATCAAACCTGAGTGACTGATCCCAGTAACTTTCAACAAAGAGATGGGCTTCTTTATAATGCCAAATTCATAAAGCGTATCATTGAACTAATCTCATACTTATCTAAATGAATCCCAAACTTTTCTGACAAAATAGCTTCTAGAACTAAAAACATTAAGTACCCATTAGATTATCAGTGCACAAATGATTTTATCAACTCAAACAAGATATTGCAAATGCTGTGACAGATTATGTGGATGAAAATGATCCGTTTGAAGTAAAAACTGATGCATCTGAGATTGCTATAGCTGCGGTTTTTAATCAGAATAATCACCCTGTTGCTTTCTTTTCAACATTACTTCAAAATTCTGAGCTCAAACACCCTCTATTGAGAAAGATACATTCGCAATAATAGAGCCAGTCAGACATTGAAGACACTACCTTACTGGGCGCCATTTTAGACTTTTACTGATCATCAACTTGTACCCTATATTTTTGAAAAGCAACACAAATAAAAAATAAAAAAATTTATCGTTGGAAAATTTAATTATGAGATCTTTTACAGGGAAGAGAAACTTAATATTCCAGCTGACACATTTTCTAGAATAGATTGCTCAGCAATAAACGCTTACAACTTAATTCAGCTTCATTGATTATTCTGTCTTCAATTAGATTTTATTATTTTATTATTTTATTCTCAATTAGATTTTATTCTTTTATTAAAAAATCGTATTTTACTTTTCACAGTTGATGATGTTAAACTAATAACTATACAGTGTAAAATATGTTGCCAAGATACCACAAACCACTAAGATCCATTTTTTATAATGGTGACACAACCATTGGAGTGTTTCAACCAAGTTCCTTCAGAAACTTATAACATTAATTTTTTAACCATAATTCATAAGTATTTTCATTTTCAGCTTGTGACACCATGCCCTGATATTTCATCTCAGAGCAGGGTTGGCATTAAAAAACCCGCCCAAAAAAACCCGCCCAATAAAACCCAAAAAAACCCGCCTAAAAAAACCCAATAAAACCCTGGAAAATCTGGGTTTTATTGGGTTTTTTTAAAGATATTTAATAAGTTTATGAACTATTATAACCAACTTTAACATTATAACTATAATATTATTTACTAAAATAATTATTAACTATTTTTATTAACTTAACTATTATTAACTATTATTATTAACTATTATAACCAACAATAACAGCTATCAGAGTAGGTTTACTATTATTTGAATCATTATTTGGAAATACATTATTACAATTTTTATTCAAATATTTTTATCGATTGAGATTTTTATTACATAATGTTGTTCACCTCCCAAGTTGAATTTAAATGAGTAGTAGTGACCAGAGAAGCCAACACAACAGTCGAGGAGGCTACCTTGTTGTGGTTACAACCCTCTCTCAACTCTTTTGCGGTAGTGGTGTTGTGGTAGAGCGCTCAATTCATAAGTGAGAGGTTCTGAGTTTGATCCCCACCACGTCCCTGGCAGTACCGTGCTCAACTCCTTTCTCCGCGCAGCGGCCTTGTTCGTCAAGGTTCATGTTTCGGAGTTATAGAGTTGAGAGAGGGTTATAACCACAAATAAGTAGCCTCCTCGCCTGTAGTGACCATAAGCTTTGAAGAGGTGAATTGATTTAAAGAAGAAAAAAAACTCTTTAACTCCTAAACACGAATCTTTATAAACAAGGCCGCTGCGCAGAGGAACAAGTTTGTTCATTTGAATTTCAAGTTCAAAGTTTAATTGAAACTTCAGTTACTACCTCCCATTCTCAAGCCTTCTTTTTTTACAGAGACAAAATAAAAATTATACCCAAAAAAACCCAAATTTACCCAATAAAACCCAATAAAACCCAAAAAAACCCACTGGGCCGGGTTTTTTTAAAAAAACCCGGGTTTTTGCCAAACCTGTCTCAGAGTGTAATTAAATGTTTAAAAATCAAGAATACTTAAGCATAAGCTCTTCTTTATTTTTGGTTTGCCAAATGTGATGAAATGGAACATTATTATTATATTTGTTATATTAATAATTCTTCATATTGTTTTAGTTAATAAAAAGTTAAAAAGTAATAAATTTATTATTGACATATCAATAATATGTTATCCTTTGAGTTCATAAAATCAAGTTATATCCATTCTGATAGAGGTTCAGCTTTTACTAGTAAAGAATTAAAATAATACTTATTAGAGAAAAGTATTGCAACAAGTCATATCACCGCATATAAACTCTAAGGGAATGGATAAGCTGAAAAGTATAATGGAACCATAATGAAGTTTATTGAGCAAGCTACCAGATAACATAAGTAATCTATTAAAGCTTGGGAAAAAGTATTGCCAGATGTTCTCTAATCTCTAAGATGCCTAATAAATACTAAAACAATGGAGATCTCATGAAAGAATGTTTAAACACCTGCATAAAACAACTATTGAATGCAATATATCCTCATGGTTAAACAATTCTGGACCTGCTGAAAAGACATACCATATCATAACGATCTGTTTCAAAAACATTATGACACACAATTACACTCATTTAAAAAACATTTTAACTTGAAGAACATAAAAAAAAAACATATATATATATATATATATATATATATATATATATATATATATATATATATATATATATATATATATATATATATATATATATATATATATATATATATATATATATATATTTAAACACATGATTTATTTATATACACACACCAGGTTTGAGTCAGCAGTGTGCTGATATATAGAATTTAAAAATTTAAGTAGAAGCACACATAAAGCTTTAAATTCCTGACTTTAATCTAGATGGTTTTTTCATTAAAAGAAAGAAAAATAAACTATAATTAAAAAAACTTATTTATTATATGTATGCAGATACAACAAAATAAAGTTTTTAAGACTTAGACAGGAATGGCGTGCAATTGCACGCTGAAACTGACCACACTTAAATTTTTTATCTTCATAATTTGACCATGGTTAATTTAATGTTGTAACAATAAAAAAATTATTATGTTATAACTTTTAATCCTTGATCTATTTAAAGTTTTTATTTTACGCAAAGGCTTTAAATAAAATAAAAAATTAATTACATTGATCATTTAAAATAAACACATTTTGTGTAAAATAAATCTTAAATTTATACTTTTTTTAGAAGGCATGTATTTTTTATGATAAATTTAAACATTTGAAACTATTTTTCCATGTCTTTCAAAAAATCTTTTAAAAGATTATTTTTCAAGGTTATTTTAAATTATGAATAAGTTAAATTAAATTTTCCCATTCCAATGGAATGATTAAATTGCTTTATTTTTTGTTTCTATTTTTAAAAAGAATTGTTTAAAAGTTTTTTCAAATTGCTCTGATTAGTCAAAACTTGACTTACTAATCAGAGACATTGATATGATCAAGCATTGGCAATGTTATAAAAAAGTTTGGAATTGAAAGCTTTATAATTGAACTTTGTGCTGACACAACAGCATGTAACACTGGTTTTAATAAGGGTTGT